ACTGCCACCCTGAGCCATCCCACACTGGGAAGTGTCCAACAAGTTTCCCACACAACGAAAATACGCGCCGCCGGGTCAACACATCAGGGGCTTCCGGAATTTGACTTCCTCGTTTCCATCGGAGGGTGCCATTTTCTTCCCAGACCTGCAAGCCAAGAACTCTTGCTCCATCTCTCAGTCGCACCGGATCCTGCACACCAAACCGTAATCCGAAAAGTGTTGTCTTACACGCGATGCAGAGGCCAAACTTTCATTAATGAAGATATCATCAACGTATGCTGATGTGGCACTTTCAATTGTGCGGTCTTGCGATGCGATGGCGTCTATAACGGATTTCATGATGAGTGGCGCTACATTTAGCCCAAATCCCAGCCGCGTAAGACAGAAGCGTTGGCCTTTGAAAATAACCGTTTGAAATGGCCACAGCGCTTCGTCGATGTGAATCTGAAGATATGCGTTCCGCAGATCCAGAAGCGACACATTGACTCCCTGCTGCCGCCACGTTCTCAACTTATGTGCGCACACTTCTGCATCGGCAGTGAAAGCATCCACAAAGTCGTTCAATTCGCGGTAATCAAGTACCGGACACACCTTCTGTTTCTGCTCCTGCACGACTGCCATCAAGGGGAATCAGACCCTTTGGGGGGTCCCAGTCTTTCCTGGGGTATGGAATCAGCCAGCCGTTCACAATCCACTGCTGAAGCTCTTTCTCGTATTTTCCTCTGATGCTGTCTGGAACTTTGTACTCAGCGACCTTGTTGCGAAGCTGAACTGGCGGGTCTTTTTTGGGCCCATTTCCACCTGGCGGTCCACACTCTCTCGTCGGAATTGAAGGAGACGTCGAAATCCGGCTCACTAACGCAAAGGGCTGCACACACCTTTCTTCTTTCACCCAGTTCCACATTTCCGGCTGGCGTGATCATCATGCCTCCTAACGCTCGGATCGCATCAATCCCAAGTAGCAGGTCGTACCCGAGGGGCCTTTGACGTGCCACCAAGACGTCGACTTTGGCATGACTCCCTCCGTCTGTTAGGACTGACACAGTCCCGACACCACAACAGGCCCGGGGACACCCCGTCAATCGTCCGAATCTCGATTTGTTGACTGTTCCATGTCACGCATCGATCCGCGCTAACGATCGATCGGGAACATCCAGTGTCAACGAGCGCCGAACATCGTTTTTACCCTCAACGTACACGTTGATAACAGGCAATGCCGCATTTACTGACCGAGAGGGGGCAAGGGTTGCGACAGCACCTTGTCCCCGGACTCGTTTCCCGAGCAATCCTGTGCTACATGGCCTAACTCTTTGCAGCGATAGCAGCGTAGTCGTGCACGGTTCCGCCTGCCGCTCCCTCCTACGTCACTTCGGCTCCGGCAGTCCCTAGAGAAATGGTTGGGTCCACCGCACTTGTAGCACTTTGGGCCCTCCTCGGTGTCTCAGGCGTTCTCATGGCTGCCGCGATCTGTTCCGTGTCCTTCAAGATGTTTCGGGCCCTGGCTAGCAATTCGTCAATTCCCAGTGTGTCCAATCTTGAAGACGCTCGCAGGAGCCGACTGGTGTCGTCTGGAAGCCCTGCCAGGAAGGCGCACCCCAGTATGCGGTCCGTTGCTCCGCCAAACGGTACTGCCAGCCTTCGCAAATCAGCCAGGTAAACATCCACGGTCTCACCTGGCTCGAGCCGTCGTCCGACGAACTGTTTCCAAGCGATGAATGGATCTATTCCAAAGGCCGTATACAGGGCGTCCTGATCTCTTCTAGGTCAGCATCGTCCCCGAGTTGTTGATATACTGCGTAGGCTCCTCCCGTGAGTCTCAGTGGGATGACTAGTGCAGGTTCCTTTATTTTGGACACCCTGCAAACACGTTCGGCCTTTTCAAACCATTCAACGATAGTCGGGCCCGTGGGGGAGCCGTCGAATTCTGGGATCAACTTTAGATCGAACTTGTCCATTGCCGAAATAGCTTGAAGTGTGTAACTCAACAATTCAACTGGTGATAGCAGGTAGGTACAAAAAACCGGGTCGCACGTCCAACCTTCTCACGAGCCGAAAGCCTCTCGTTTGAAACAGCAGAAACGAGCTTTTTTTTATACAGCTGCGGACCGACCACGATTTGCATGCGAATCACGAGGCAACGAGATTTCACGTTAACTGACCGAGACTACTCGGCATAAAACGCGGGCGCCGCCATTTTGGTTTTTTTTTTTTTACAGTTGGAAGGACCAGTGTTTACATACTGCGCAGATTCGAACGCGTTTCCGAGGTAGGCCATTTTCACAATTTTCCCCACAGTGAGATAGGCAAGAAGTAAGGCATGTAGCAACATCAGCACGGCAAAGGGCATTCCTTTAAAGGCAAGGAAGGGCAAAAATATTTTAAGTCAAGTGATAGCGATTGCCGTATGAGTCGTACGACTTTTGAATCAAGCACGGGCAACGCCGGGCCATGCTGCTAGTCTTCTATAAAAAAAAAAAAAAAAGTAAGAAAGAAAAAAGAAGCAAAGGGGGAATAAATAAGAGAAAAATGCAAGATTTAAACAAAGATATAAACGAATAGATGCTACTGAGAAAGAAAGAGAGAAAGAAAGAAAGAAAGAAAGAAAGAAATAGGTGCTGCAAAAGAAAGAAAGACTGAAAGAACGAACGAAGGGAAGAAAGAAATGGAGTGTAAGGTTGTCATGAATAGAGAAAAAAGGCATGCAATTGAGAAAGAAAGAAAGAAGAAAGAAAGAAAGAAAGAAAGAAAAAGAATAGTCGATACAATAAAAAGAAAGACTGAATAAAAGAATAAAGTCAAGAAAGAAATAAAGTGTAAGGGTGCTCTGAAAAGTGAAAGAAATAAAGATAATTAAAAAAGATAAAAAAGAACGAACGAAAGAAAGAAAGAAAGAAAGAAGGAAAGAAAGGAGGAAATATCAGCGAACGAAGAAATGGATATGAAGAAAGAATGATTAACTTTGACTATCCAAATGGCTGGCTTTGTTGTCCAGTTGTCCACGTATATATCCTCTGATTTCTTTACCCTTGACTGACGATGAATACGTCTCGCCGAACTCGGGCATATTTCACACATGCGTAAGCGACAAATGTGAATCGTAGTACAATATGTGTGTTGACCACATAAACAAATGCCAAAACCCTCACATACCAAGGCATGTGAAGTAAACAAAGTATTCGTGTTTTAAAAAATGAGAGCGAAAGTAATCGAACACATGACTCAGATATGGATCAGTAATCGTGCGCCATAGAAAATATGGCGCACAATATAGACTTTTTTTTTAAAAGCAAGGAGAATAAATAAATAAAGAGTTTTTTTTTTCATTGAAGGCAAGATTATTGAACAGAGAAACAAGAGAGTAAAACATTTTGATTTACTTTTATTTTTTCTATAAGCTATTAGCCTAAAATTGTCTAAATTCTTCCATTATCCTAATTGGCTTACTTTAACGATTCTAATTAGTTTAAATTTATCTGAATTATTCAACGATTCTAATTGGTTTAAAATTGTTTGAATTATTGTATTTATGCAAAATAGTTCGAAAATTGTCTCAGTTATTCCATTATTCTAATTGGTTAAAATTGTTTGAGTTACTTCATTATACTAATTGCCTGAGTTATTCGATGATTCTATATCTGTCTATATCTCTGAGATAAGGTAATACAATTATTTACATTATTCGGATTGTTATCCTCATGTTCATTGCCATATTCACAACGTTTCGGCTGCTGTACGCTCCGGCCTTCTTCAGCTGATTGGACTTTCGAACCAAACCCTTTATTTCGTCCACCGGGGTAGACTGTTCTAGTTCCACACGCCATGCCTCTTCCGAATGTCTCAGTTATTTCCTTTTAACACAACTCTTCAAGTTTTTGGTTCACCATTGCTGTAGCCTGGCATTGACCTCGCAACTCTTTGAGTCTAGTCACCAGCGTCTTTATCCACGGGGCCATTATTCTAATTGGTTTTTAAAAAATGGCGGCTGTATTTAAGTAATTTTATTTTTGCAATGAATATATTATCTGTAATTGTGACAATGTATTTTTATCTATAAAATTAATTTTATTGCCGCATTTAAGAAATAATTTGGCGTTTTAAATTTAAGGTTATACGAGAAATAAATATTAACTATTAGCCCCCCCCCCGGCTATTCGTATCACTATATTTGTGATGATCTGACTGAAAGTCACTTATATGTCTAGGCAAAAAATTACTGACGTGTAACAAATTTTTCAAAGCATGAACCGAATACTAAATCCGTTTCTTTTGATTATTCACATTACAGGAAGTAAGACGTGGTTATTATGTATATATATGTGATAGATAACGGTTGACCCTAAACTTGATAAGGTTAAGAGCGTCGTGATCGGGGAAACAGCGTGTCTGTTCCACAAATTAATAGATCTGAAAAAAAAAAGCTGTCTGAATAGAGTTTAAAAATACAGACGAAAGAAATGTGCATGAGTTGAACTTCTGTGAATGTCTAAACTGGTGGAATTAAAGAGTGTACTTCGTTTGAACATTTGCCATGAATATAATGATAGAATATCAAGAAGCTAGCAACGTTTCGTCTGTGAGGAAAGGGGTTGTAGGGTGGAAAATAATTCATCACTCACATGGCCGCGTATAGGCTTTTGAACTCTGTCAAGACTGGACAGTGAAGTATAGCATCAATATTCCATGTTTGGTCTGATCCGAGTCTTGTAAATCCAAAGTATAGCAGAAGTCAGGCGATTTCTTGTGTGGCACAAGGAACTAGCCATTTTGTTAGTAGGGTAGGTCGATTTTGGAACCTTAGTATTGCACTCAGTTTGAAAGTTGGGGTTTCACATTATGAATAGTGACACAAAATATTTTTTTTCAAAATCCTTACGATTTTTTTTATGAAGATCAAGTTTAGGGTCAAAATTATAACGTTAGAATTTAATTCCAGTGATCAGTTTTGAAAGCCTTATAAAATTTTAGATTTACTGACGTTTCACAAATTGTATATGGACAAGATGCATGGCAAAAGTATATTATTATTTTTCTTCTTTCATTTTCATCATTTCGTTCTTTTTCTACCGTCCTTTTTCGTCTTTCATTTTCTTTCTTTCTTTCTTCTTTCTTTCTTTCTTTCTTTCTTTCTTTCTTTCTTTCTTTGCATTCAATTTTCTTCCTTCATTTTACACATTTCTTTAATTCTTTCTTTCATTGCTATTCATTTTCATCGTTCACTTTCTTTCTTTTGCCTTTCTTTCTTTTCCTTCCATTTCCTTCGTTCACTTTCTTTCTTTCTTTCTTTCTTTCTTTCTTTTTTCTTTCTTTCTTTCTTTACATTCCCTTCATTTTACTCATTTCTTTCATTCTTTCTTTCTTTGCTATTCATATTCTTCGTTCACTTTCTTTCTTTTTTCTTTCTTTGCCTTCCATTTCTTTCATTCACTTTCTTTCTTTCTTTCCTTTTTTCTTTTTTTCTTTCTTTCTTTATATTCTCTTTCCTTCTTTCATTTTACGCATTCCTTTCTTTCTTTCAAATCACAGAGCATATATCGGAGGTTGTCAAGACAGTGGTGTGTTTTCTTTTTATAGAAAAAAAAAAAGACCAGTAAAAGAAGAAAAAGCTTTCTGGTTATTTTCATATGCGTCTAATATTCTTCCCTAACATCTCCTGACCCCTGGCCCATCTTTATCTACACAAAACCCAACGCAGGTGTAAATCCCTAAAATAAAGAAAGACAAAAAGAATCTGTCTAACTATATTGAATATTTTGAATCTTTTCGCCTAGCCACCATAATAACCACTTGTATGTCAAATTCATAACAGTTGTAAAATAGATGTTGCTGAGGAAAATGTCGACTGTAAGACATCACGTAGAATCAACTGACCGTCTGTCTTGTCAATAACAAATAAACGGATGTTTTTTTTTATCCCTTTCGGTTTGTGTTCTTCTCGTAACCAAACATTTGAAGGAAAAAAGAAAAACATTTCCACGTACGTCGAATCATCTCCAACCTCATAATAGACAAAGATGAGGTTTTTCATGTCAATATTGATGCGGCTAATAATCTACAGGGTGATTGAAAAGTAACCCCCTATTCTATGTATGATGGACTCTTCCTTCTTGTAAAAATTATAGTTAGACGGGTGAGTTCATCATACATAAAATAGGGAGTTACTTTTCAATCACCGTGTACATTCGCCATTCATTTATTGAGCCGTTAACGTTACTGAAGTTTATAAACTATGTTTATTAAAACAGTTTTTACAGCAAATTCGTCAAAGCCATTAGATGTCATAGCTCTTTCTATAACAAATGGTTGTTCTCTACTTAACATTTTGTTGAAGGGAGTGTGGAAAGTCGGCATCCTGATTATATCATTATTATCTCTTCTACTTACATCGTGTTGGATGTTATCAAGTGATAAGGATTTTGTTATTTGGTAAAGTTTTTTGTTATTTTGTAGCGCCAGTCTGTAAGTTCTAATGAAAGATTTTCTTTTTTAGACGTAATGGATTTATTCACTTTAATCCATGTTTCATCAATGATCTGAGAAAGCGGTTGTAAGTAAATTATAGATTTGATGAACATGACATATATATATATTTATATATATATATATATATATATGTGTGTGTGTGTGTGTGGTTTAATAAATTGAATAGATTTATTTTACCTCTGACGTACAGATCGATGCATGCAAAACTCTTAATCGGATGATAAATCATTGAATTTTTTTATCTATCTATCTATCTATCTATCTATCTATCTATCTATCTATCTATCTATCTCTGGGTGTTCGTATCTATCTATCTATCTATCTATCTATCTATCTATCTATCTATCTATCTATCTATCTCCGGGTGTTCGTATCTATCTATCTATCTATCTATCTATCTATCTATCTATCTATCTATCTATCTATCTCCGGATGTTCGTATCTATCTATCTATCTATCTATCTATCTATCTATCTATCTATCTATCTAAGTTTCCGGGTTTTTTCGAAAGTCTACTTTAACTCTGTACTTCTAACGTCTCTGTCTAAACTCTTGCACAGTTACCAAAATAAGGGCACATCACATGAATTTTACTCAAATACCTCTGTGTATCTTATGTGACACCTAAAACTGAAGGCGCTTTGTAATAGCAAAATATGCCTTTCCAAAGCCAAGAAGTATTAAGAAACAGGAAAATTTTCTTCAGAATATTTGGCACTGACAGGACATATCGAAGGGAAGATCGTCAGAGGAAAATAATGCATAACCTAGATAACGAATTAGTATAAACGGTTGAACAGGGTTTAGGATAGATAGCAAAAAGACAAACATTAATGAGATCTACAAAGGACAAGAAGAAGAAGAAGAAGAAGAAGAAGAAGAAGAAGAAGAAGATGATGATGATGATTCTGGACCTACATGTCGCTGTAAAACGATTCCTTCACAAACACTAAAGGCGGGTGAGAGTTGTAATTTATAGCATCTTACACCAAGATGTCAGGAATTGTACTTGCCTTGGCCAAATAGACTTGGAAGATGTCTCTCCCCAAGTACAGGCAAACGTCCATCCATTGAATGAAGGCACAACCTACTCATCATTGAAATCTACAAAGCACCATTCGATGGCGCATATGGCCGTCTTCTAACACCACTTGACATGTGAATGGGAGCGGTGTCGCGTAAATTATAAGTTGGCTAATCTGCAATTACTTCTTACTATTACGTCCGTATAACCTTATTCAGTTCATTTAAGTGGTGCCAAAAATGTAAAGAAAATTTGCTCTCTTCTGAACATACATCGGCGCTGTTCAACGATCACAAACACCAAAGATGAGCGAGAGTTGTAACTTATGGCCCGTTACACCATGATATCAGAAGTGCATGCGCATGTGGGTCTGTGGCGACGAATGAGAAAACAAAGACTTACCACAAAAAAGAATTAGTGTTCTCTGTGTTATCTGCCGAAAAGGAAAATCAGAATCAAGATCGAGTCTTTTGCTAGACGGGAAATATGGTAATTGTTTGTGCTTTTCCCTACCATAGCCAACCAATCACAACCTTTTTATACCCCACCCCAACCCCCCCAAAAAAACAAACAAACAAAAAAAAAACAAACAAACAAAAAAAAAACAAACAAACAACAAAAAACGTTCATCTGGACGACAGAAACACTCTTGACTTCTCGGAGGGGAAGAAGGTAGTTATGGATATTTGGTCCATTTTGATTTACTGCCCGGCATTTCCTGATATTGAACAAGCGAAACTGATTTATGACTTGTGGACTTACAACCCTGGTCTTATGATTTTTTTTTCAAATGAGCCTGCTATTTTCTCATTTTGTCTTGGCCGAATACACTTGGACCTTATCGCTTCCCAGCTCAACGTCTCTGAAAAACAACTGGACACATGAAAGACAGTATTGGGGCGTAAGTGAAAATCTGGCTAGAGTTATATATATATATATATATATATATATATATATATATATATATATATATATATATATACCTTTAGTCTTGCAGGAAATAAATGATTCACAATGGTCTATATTGACACCCTCTGGCATTAGTTTTGATATGTGCTGTGGACGCTCTGCGGTCTGTCACTGTTGCACTTAAAATACAGCAATCAATCTTGTCTACTAATTGGTCATCCGAACCTTTGATTCCCTTTGCAATAACCCAAGCGCCTCTGATGCGTCACGTACAACCTGCACAGTCACTCACCGAACTGATTATCCTGTTTCTTAAGGAATTCTAACGGAACAAAAACAGCACGCGTGTTTCTCCTTTGCATGCACCCTAATGACATTGGACTCTCCCAACAATGAACCTTATCACAGATCTGAAATGAAAAGTTCTCTCGGAGAAATGTTATTACAATATATGATTGGCAAACAGACCGAAGGTTTGTTTAGAATATCTATTACTAATGATTATTATATCCGCTACCCTGGGGGAAATTGTCATTATCCTATAGGGTGGGGCTATATTATTATTATTATTATTATTATTATTATTATTATTATTATTATTATTATTAATAATAATAATAATAATAATAATCATAATAATAATAATAATAATAATTTTTTAGTTTTGCCAATCGATACATCCATTTACCAAATCGTTAAAAGTGAAACTGTAAATAAATACAGGTATTTCTTTCTAAGTTATTGAACATATTGAATTGAAAAGGCATTAATTATTATGTTGGCCTTTTACATTGACGTAGTCTAAGGAAATTCTGTTCTTGAGGAATGGTATTAACAAGACGTCTAACAACTCAATAACTTTTCAAAGAATCCTCGCAGAATAAATCACGATAGTCGTCTGGACGCACACAATCTTGGTCTCAATTCAATTCCTTCTTTTCTGTATTATTATTACCCGCGAGTAATTTTAAGTGCCTAATTATCAATCCCCCCACCCCACTCCCCGGGTTTTATCAGCAGAAAGAGAATTGGAGAAGAATTGTTCTATGTACATTTGGGAAGTTTCGTTTAGATAGAGATGGTTTTGCGGATGACATGTGCCGTTCCATATAATGTAATTTTCTTTTTAGCACTGAGATTCTGATGTATCCAGGAATTTTCGGTACCCCTTCTTTATCTTACCCAGTACCCTTATCACAACGGAAACAATCGTGGTTTTAAGTTTCCACATTTTACATGTTACTTCGGTTTTCAGTTCCTTATAATTTGACAGTCTTTGAAATTCTTTTTTTTGAAACATTGGAATTCTGTGCGTAATTGATGTAAGGTTTCTTTGTAAAATCTTTTATGACCATGTCTGGTCTATATGCATTAAATTATTATTATTATTATTATTATTATTATTATTATTATTATTATTTCCTTTCAATTCTGTTGTATAAAATTTCCTTTCGGCTCAATACCTATGATCAGAAATGGAATCATGACATTTCCAAACTAGATCACACATGTTTCACACAGATATGGTAACCTCGAGGTGGTGTAATAGTTAGTAAGCTTGTCTCGATAGAACAATTATGAATGAGTAGTGAGCTCGATCCTCACTGGCTGCCCCGTACATTCGGCCTTGAAACGCTTGGAAAATCACTATTTCACACAGATAAAACTCTTCGTGATCTGTACTTGTGAGTATAGTTTTTTTTGTATTTCTTTAGGCATGGGCTACAGGGAATCCCTTCAATGAGTCTATCGGAATATTTTCCAATCAATCCGAGGGCTCCAACTACAACTGGAATTATGCCACATTTCTTTTAGATTTCCACTTCAAAAACCTAGTATTTTGATAGTTTTTTTTGGAAGATCCTTAGATACATACAACCTGCAAGAATGGCCATGTCAATAAGAAAGCACATTCTGTTCTTGTGGTCTTTGATTACGATTATTATTATTATTATTATTATTTTACACATTTTACTTGGATAAAGACCTTCGTAAGGCGTGAACTGTACTCGTGAGTACATTTTTTTTTATTTCTTTAAGGTATTAAATACCAAGGATCCTTTCATTGAGTCTATCGGAACCTTTTCCAATCAATCTGAGGGCTCCAATTACAACTGAAATTATGGATGTCCTCGTGTGCCACAATGTCTTCAAAGATACATTACACTCTATAGGGAC